ACCCAAAAGATCTTACCTTCATGCTTTGGAAATACAAATCAGAAGACAGAACACAATATGCGTAATGCTGAAAATGGGCGGGGCTACATAACGTCTATAAATACCATATAGTCTACACAAAACATAGTACAACACAGGAGTTGCATTGCATTGTTTTTTTCATTTATTTGCTCTCTGTATGTCCACATAATAGCAAATCGGGTCAACCTAAAGTTAAATGTGAAAGCCTTCTGGTGTCCCACGAGAATCACTTGGCAGTCATACGCATGACGTGCTTGACCATGTTCCCGATGCCATCAAAGATGTAATGGTAGTGGTAGTCAGTCTCCCACATGAAGGATGGAGTGCTGATCACCTTGTTTTTCTCATCCACATAGGCTTCGTGAGATGGGCAGTTAAGGGGAAAACATCAAGTTGGCGTGCGTTTAGAGTTCTTGCATCATTTAAAGGCACTTTTGGTAAAATGTAAAAAATGTCAAAAGCGCATCTCTAGAAAATTTTGTCTCAATGAAAGGATATGTAAGGTTCGCGGGTGTTGTGGCGGGCCCCCATGCTCTTGACCGCCTGTACCATGCTGGTGTTGGGCCAGCGACCCCAGCGGCTGGTCTCGTCACGTTCGTAACCCATTGTGACTTCCAGACTCGGCAGCACTCGGCACGCCAGGAGAGGAGCCATGCTGGACAGACTGGGCCAAAGAGAGCCGGATTCAGTGGAGACCACTATTCGACATTTTTATAAACGTTTGTCATTTGTCATAACGTAGCAATTTGAGTGAAGCAAGGACATCTGATCAACAACTACTCGGTATGCATGCACTATATACAAGGATTCAATTCAGATTTGTAATATTTTATAGTCGGGTACCCAATGGGCTTGCGAGCGCGATGGAACTCCTTCATAACTCTTTCCACATCATTATTCAGCTTGCAGTCTTTACCATCTTTGCTGAAGGTGGACCTGTGAAAGTCAGCAGAAATTTTTTAATCTTCATTTTAAAAATGCTAACTTTTTAGGAAAAACAATTCAGGAAAAAAACTGCTTGTATGTCTCTCCCAGCTTCAGCATATTATATCAAATGTTGAGTATAAAAAGGTTGGGCTCAGACGTGGATTAGTCCATCGCCTGTATTTCCACTTGGACTTAATCATTTGTTTGCTAACAGTGAAACATGATAAGAGGATTTTCACTCCAGGAATAGTGATAGATCTGGGGTGACAAACAATGAAATGCCAAGCCACGTGTAATCTGACGGTCTCTGCAGTCAGGACAATGCACTTCTTTTGGGATGCGCTCAATTTCTTTTCACAAAACATGTATTTGCATTAGTAGTATAGACCCTAAACTATAAGACTGTCTCTCTCACAGGTTCTTGACTATTCCGTGGCCTCCAGGGAAGATGACGGCATCAAAGCTGTTGACGTCCAGTTTGGCCAGGTCGTTCATCTGCATCGTGCCCTGACCGTGGCTGAATCGTGCAGACTCCATCATCATGTTCCTGCAGAGAGGGATGATGGTTTTGTTTAAATGCTAAATGGTACACATCCAAAAACCATTGGTTAACATGATGCTTCCATGGTGTGTTTTTTGTTGTTATAGAATGGTAATTTAAAAAGCTGTGTAATTATGTTAATGATGTCTACCTGTTGTCACTTGTAGAGGGCTGCATCTTCATGTGGTCCATGACGTGCATTTGCTGCTGGTTTGGAGCAAAGATCTGAAAGCGGGCTCCATTACGGCTCAAGTGGTACATGGTGCTTAACAGAGACATAGCAGTATGTATGCATCACAACTCTCTAGAATGCTTGAAGCTGATTGGTTGAAAGCAGGATTCTGTGTTCAAATCATTTTAATGTAGCCCTCAAACCGTATTCACTTTAGCCCTTAGTAATTGTGGACAAATGTGGGCACAGAGGACTCTAATTTTTATTTATTATAAATGTTATATCACTGTCTTCGATAAAGTTTTGTCTATCCATGTATGGGGATTTTTTTCACTTTGGGGGTATTTTTGAATTTATTTACTTCAAAAAGTACCATATTTTCTATGTAAAGTGTTTTTATTTTTAGTTTTTTAACTACATTAAAGTATCATTCCAATAAGTTCTTAGAGCTAAAACCTAAAGATGAAGGGACTTTTCTGTCTTATTTTGGCTTATTTTAGAATACTCTAAATTACAGTTTTCCCCATTCATTTCTATGGGTGCCCATTTTTGACCCAAATACAAGTTTATTTTTCACCCACTTAACATTGTAGAATTGAGTCAAAAATAAATTGTGTGTGTTCAGGAGGCAAACTTAGGAAAAGTAGCCAAGTCTTTTACCGCTCAGATCAAGGGAAGTATTTTTTAAAAATAAATCAAAACTATTTTGCCCACATTTGTCCAGAATACGGTTTTAGGGTTAAACTTTACATTTGACCAGGTCCCACATCACTATAAATCACTTCAGCTCAAATCCATATTTAGTCTATTTGGTAAGTAGTATTGTAATAAGAAGGATAATGTGCTGTCAATGAAGTCCTGATGACCCAGTCAGAGTTTATTTTGTGATAATGGCAAGGTGACTGTACATTATCCCTTACATAATAACCCCAACACAGATCAATACATTCTAAAGATATAACGCTAACACTTTGTGATCATTAATTAACTTGAACTAAAAATGAACAATACTTCGTTAAAATTTTTGCTAATATCTTATTAAAATCAAAAGTTGTACCTCTTATTGTGATTACAGTAACATTGCGCATTGTTAGTTAATGGATTAACTAATGAGACCTAATTGTAAAGTGTTACCTTACACTGTAAGTTTTAAATAACACTAACGAACCTTAATAAATGCTGTAGGGTGCCTCTGTTTTTACTGTTAAAAAAGACCAGAAGTGATGTTTTGAAGTGTACACTTACTACGCAGCCTCGTGGACGTCAGTTCCATCCCACCAACCACAGCCTGAGAAAACCTTCAGTCACAGTCACATGTTCAGACTACATCTTAACCAACAAAAAACTCAATACCAAATGCTGTGTTTGTGGCATTTTGTGTTCTTACCACGGCGATGTTGGTGTTGCCCCAGTTCCCCCAGTCTCCCCCATGATGCACCAGGCAGGCGGGTTGGCGCGCCAGTGTCGCTGCTGCCTGCTTGGCGAGGAATGCCCGTGATGCCAACATGATCACACTGCCGAGTTTAAAGATCAACCGAGCGACAGACTGAACTCCGATGCATGCGAGGCCCGGCTCTTTTATAGTTTTGCATGTTGCATGTGGGACGTCACTCTGTAAGCTACGTTTCTGAGAAGATAAGATACTTTGTCTGAACAACCCTTTTCCTTTCTTCATTGCGTATCTAATAATACCTTCCTCCATTATCTTATTACCTTAAGTCATTTGGTCAACACCTGTTGGGCTGCGGGCGTTTACCTGCATTTACCTCCTTAAACAGCCCGTCTGACCCTTCTGACCCCGTCGCCTCACTCGCAGCGCCACAGGTGTGTTTAGTTGCTTGATTCAATTATAATCGATTTTGAAGATGCCTCTTGACTTAAATGTCCCCACAAAGATATGATAGTAATACCCGTCATTTTTGACCTTGTGGGGACATTTCTTGGTCCCCGTGACGAAAACAGCTTATAAATCCCACTAATCCCACTAAAAATGCAGAAAGTTTTCCGTCATGGGTAGATTTAGGGTTAGACGATAGAATATACGGTTTGGACCAAAGGAAAGTGCCCGAAAAGCATGGAAACCCACCATTGAATTGAGTTGTAATTGAATGAGATTAGTAAACCCATTAGTTAATAAGGCTCTTAAACACAGAAATACTATGTGGTGTCTGCTGGGATCCCAGGCAGCGATCCAATGGGTAGTAAGCCATCAGTTAAAGATCCTATAGGACACACTATAAAACCTCCTCAACGTCCAGATTACACTAGTGCATGTAGATATGAAACATAGTGAGCCTCTCTTTGTGAAAACTTCAGGAATAGACCAGGGTGTCCGCTGGGTTTTAAAAAGTGATAAATCAAAATTGTCAAATTTAAGGCCATTAAAAGTGTTAAATGTAGTCTGAGAGGTATTATTTTTTAAAAATTAGGTTTTTTTTTTTCTTTCAGACAATCAGGTGTCCTATTTTGTGTTTGCGTTAGTCTGTATAAATATGGGCTTTAGCTTATCTGCGCACAATCAAAGATCTTTCATCTCTGTCTATGTTTGATGCTGACGTCATATTCACTGGATGGATATATAGAGGCTATATAACCCTGATATAAGTGATCACCCGGATTTAGACCTATCTATATTGTATTTATATAAAGCGTTCACAGGCAAATTTGCTTTAGCCTATGTAGGTCTATATATTGCTTTTATTTCCCTTTTATTGAAATCAGGCAAACATAAATGTCAGGCGACATAATTGCTGGCTGCATGTCAATATCCATGGATCACTGGATCTTTAGTAAGTTGTTAGGAATCCAACTATATTGAGTCCAACATTTAGTTTAAATTGATCAAATTGTTAGTTTTAGTCGCATTTTCGTTTAATAGTTTCCCCTATTAAATCCAGTCACACAGCAGATCTTTTGCCACTCAGTCAGGTTGAGGTGGGTTGTACCGGCGGGAAAGTGATATCAATGCATTCCCTCTATTGTTTGGTGTGTAAAAAAACTGGATGGGAGCTAATGCACTTCGGTCGCAAATGCAATCCACTAAACATAAAAATGAAATGCGTGCTCTAAATCTATTCATTTTTGTATGTTATAAATGTCAAAATCTGTGTAATAGAAAGGTCGCTGGTTAACACTTGCAATTCAGTGTCATGATGGTTTTAAAAAAATTCTGAAGGTAGTAAAAAAAGGTATTAAAAAGTAGTAAATTTAACTTAAAGATTACTATACCCTGTAGACAAACTCTCTGAGCATTGGTGCAAACGCCCTCAGATTCTCCAGTTTTAGGAAAGAGAACTGTGCAAAAACACGTCATAACATGTTGCTCGTGCATTTATTTAAAGAGACTTATTAGCAAGGAAATGTCACGCATGCAATCAAGGTAAAAGAGTTTAATTTGATTTAAAAGCTAAGCTACATTGAGCCTGTTTCTGTCGCTGACTTTACGGACCTTCCTTTGGATGGAAGGGCAGGCAGCTTAGCTCTCGTCTCAACTTTGACATTTGGCTGCGTCTCTGGAAAGATTCTTAGGGAATCAAACATGATCAGCAGACGCTCACTCGTTCCTCATGTGTAGATCTCTGTGGTCAGGGAAAATACATATTTCCTTCAACGTCTAGAGAGACTGACATAAAAACAGACCACTATACTGAATACGTTCGAGCAGTTTCATGAGGGAAAAAAAGCCTGACATGATGGCTTAATTAAAGAAGTTGGACGGTGTAACCCTCGCCGTAAAGGTCATGTTCCACTTAATCATCATCCTCATCAGCAGGAGCAGCGGTGTCAAGAGTTCACCGTTCTTCGGAGGCGTGTTTTGTGCACGTCCTGCGCTCTCCTCTGCCGCTCTGACATGGTGCCGCCTGAATTGCGTTTGATAGCCGGTAGAATCACAGTTTCTCCTTTACCGGCTTGACTCGGGTGCCTGGGGTGAAATCATTAAAAAATCAGTTTCACATTATCTGTGGGGATATGAATAGAGAAGTCAACCTACTGTTTCTTTGGCAGTGGTTTGAGAGGTAGTTTTGGCAAATGCTCGAAAACTTCACCCCTAAAAGAGAATCAAAATGTGCAAATTAAGGGCAAATGATTATATTGTGATTATATTATGATATACACTCACCTAAAGGATTATTAGGAACACCATACTAATACTGTGTTTGACCCCCTTTCGCCTTAATTCTACGTGGCGTTGATTCAACAAGGTGCTGAAAGCGTTCTTTAGAAATGTCGGCCCATATTGATGGGGATTTGTGGGATGCACATCCTGGGGTTATTGGGTTCTCCTATTGGGTTGGGTTGAGATCTGGTCATTTTAGTACAGTGAACTCATTGTCATGTTCAAGAAACCAATTTGAAATGATTGGAGCTTTGTGACATGGTGCATTATCCTGCTGGAAGTAGCCATCAGAGGATGGGGACATGGTGGCCATAAAGGGATGGACATGGTCAGAAACAATGCTCAGGTAGGCCGTGACATTTAAACCATGCCCAATTGGCACTAAGGGGCCTAAAGTGTGCCAAGAAAACATCCCCCACACCATTACACCACCACCACCAGCCTGCACAGTGGTAACAAGGCATGATGGATCCATGTTCTCATTCTGTTTACACCAAATTCGGACTCTACTCAACAGAAATCGAGACTCATCAGACCAGGCGACATTTTCCAGTCTTTTTGGTGAGCTCTTGCAAATTGTCGCCTCTTTTTCCTATTTGTATTGGAGATGAGTGGTACCCGGTGGGGTCTTCTGCTGTTGTAGCCCATCCGCCTCAAGGTTGTGTGTGTTGTGTCTTCTTCACAAATGCTTTGCTGCATACCTCGGTTGTAACGGGTGGTTATTTCAGTCAAAGTTGCTCTTCTATCAGCTTGAATCAGTCGGCCCATTCTCCTCTGACCTCTCGCATCAACAAGGCATTTTGGCCCACAGGACTGCCGCATACTGGATGTCACTCCCTTTTTACTCCATTCTTTGTAAACCCTAGAAATGGTCGTGTGTGAAAATCCCAGTAACTGAGCAGATTGTGAAACCGTCTGGCACCAACATCCATGCCACGCTCAAAATTTCTTACCTCACCTTTTTCTGACATTCAGTTTGGAGTTCAGGAGATTGTCTTGACCAGGACCACACCCCTAAATGCATTGAAGCGACTGCCATGTGATTGGTTGATTTGATAATTGAACAGGTGTTCCTAATAATCCTTGAGGTGAGTGTATTCTGTATACCTGCTGTTTTCACAGAGGCAGGCTCGTGCGAGAGAGAAAACTTCAGCGGATGATTTGTTTTTGGAGGCGATGTCCCCGAGGAGCGTCTTGATCCGCAGCAGCTGAGTGAGGGAACATGAGCGTCAGGTATGAACACATGAATGAGAACAGACATGATGAAGACATGATGCTGCTGACCTCCTGATACTGCGAGGTGTTGGCGTGATAGAGCTGCCGGATGATGCCCTCACACTCCTTCAGCGTGGGGGTTCGGGGATGCTGGGACAGACTGCAGGTGATCCTGAGAGGTAGAAGTGATGTGACTGCGCCTCCTCTTCCCGCCTCTGAGCTGGAGCGGGTCACAGCAGGAGGACGTGTGATTTATTTGCGCAAGGTAGGTCAGATGATCACAGATGCTACAGTAAGTACCTGAAATTCTTCTCGGCTGAACCATCACCGCAGGATTTTGAGGGATGACTCGACTCTGTGTGGATCACATGGCTGTCAGTTCGCAGTAAACTACAGTAACCACCTGGTTTCACAGACAAGGCTTTAGTCTAAAATTAATGTTTTTAGCTGATTTAAATTATAGCAACTTGTACTGATATAACATAAAGTATGACATTGTTTTGTCTAAAGATACACAGCAGTGATGTTTTCTTCTAAGGCACGTTTATAAAAGCTATTTAAATGCTCTAATTGAACTAATCCTGGCTTAATCTAAGCCCTGTATGTGAAACCATAAATTAGATTGCGCACCTATGCACAAAGCGAGTATATATTATGAATATGGTTATGAAAAATTAGGCTTGGCAAAACATATTCTACCTTTTGGAGATTGTTCATGTTCCATAACCATCTGATACTGTAATTCTGTAAAAGAGAAACGTAATATGCACGTCTGAATATGGTACGTCAGCTCAAACAACCTGTCAGCGGTTTGCACTGTAAAAATGAATATGCTTTATCTAATCAATAAAAATGTGGCAACAGATTACAAGCAATATTATTTATTAAATTGAACAAATTAGAATTGAGTAATAGTTAATCAAATTAACATTCTAATTCATTCTAATTTGTACAATTTAATTAATAATATTGCTTGTAATATGTTGCCACAATTTTATTGATTAGATCAAGCATATTATTTTTTTCAGTGTGATTCCAATAACTGAACTTCACTGAACAATAACAATGTTTTGGATGTAATGCAAAAGAAATGTTAACATAATACATAGCTTAAAATACTTTTAAATGTTTGCTATTAATCAGTAAGACAGCCAATTTGCATCTTCATTACATTTTAATTCGTTATGTAAAATGTAAGAAAACACATTAGACTTTGCATTTCCTGATATTAAAATTTCATTTTGTCCCTCACTTTTGTTTCAACTCACATTTCTCCCTTTAAAAATAATGGTTTGTTCTGTCTAACATCCTGTTTGAGGACATGATCATGACCATGTGGTTAAAACAGAAGTAAGTTTGTCTTACAGCTTTATGTATTTATGGCCTCGTCAAACTCAATTTATATTTTAAAAACAAAATCACATTGATGATTTTAAAGGTAGGGTTAACACGTTTTGTTACACAGGTTGAAACTCTCTTCACATCCTGATAACAATCAATAATAGAAGTGGTCTAAATATTAAAATGTACATATCTTCTGTGGAAGTCTCAGGACCAAAAAATGTTCGTCCAATAATTGCATTCGGTCTGACACCAGCAACGAAATTAATCTGCAGCAGTCAGATGATACAAGTCAGAGCTTTGTAAGTTGTTTAGTTCATTATGATTGTAATGTCATGTGCTTTGAAACATTAAGTAGTGTAGTGCGGTTTCTGGTGACGCTTTAAAAAAATTCATGGAGGTTTTAAAGGAGGCGTGGCTTTGGAGACGCTCTGAAGGGAGGGTGAGATCTCATGCTTTCAAAGACAGCTCAGCATTTATAGCCTCCCCAAAAAAATTGTCTAAAATGCAAATGGCACTATTTTCATTTTCTGCCCCATTTATGCAGAATGCAACGACATACCTTTATTAATACGCTTCAGGTCTTCCATTTCTGCATGTAGTCTCCTCAGTGTGTCTGTATGCTGTTGTTGGAGGAACAGAATATCTTTCTCCAAAGAGGTGATGCGCGTGTCGCGTGCATCTGTCCTGGGCTGAGGCACTGCGTTAGGGCTCCTGATGTCCACAGGTGGAGATCTGACCATATAGTCACTAGAAAGAAGTCTGGGATACCTAACCCTGTCCAGATCTCGAACCCTGGACCAGTTGGGCAGGTTTCGCAGGGGTGGCAGATTACTGGTGGACATGGTGCTGCTAGAATATTATATTAATTCATGGATTTTTGGCTCATGCTCTTTGTTCAAATTATAGTGGACATAAGCACGGCACCAGCATTTTAAAGCTGGAACTTATGTAGTATTTATCTCGGTATTAAGCACGCTGAACAAGTCAGTTCACTTATAAACTAAGCTAATTTATAGCTTCCTTTTCCTGGATTGTATATGTATTTACATAATATGTGCCTGCCGTCATTTGCATACAACATACCTCATAAGCGATATTGCATCAGCCATCATTTGTCAGCCTTTTCTATGAAAAATTAACCACATTAAGAGCATTTAAACGAGTATTTCTTAAAATTAAGGTCATTTATGTCGTTTCAGGTGAAATGCCGGCGGTCTCGCTTCCCGGATGAATCAAACGTTGCTATGGCAACCGCGCGCTTAGAATTCGACGTGCACACGCATTGAGGAAACAAACGACGCACGCACACATTGTTTTGAAATAATTTTTTTATCTTTATTTTCCATGTAGGTAAACGTATTTCTTTAAATGAAACACAGAAGGGAAATCTAAAACACAAAACCACCAGATTACTAAAAAATAAAAAAGTGAAATATAAACAAGTACAGTCCATTTACGCAACACAAGTGCAGTAGCAAATTCCATGCAGTGATTTTATCAAAAATAATCAGACCAGAGCAAAAGCTAGACAAGTAAATTGGGGATACAATCTTGATCAAATGTGTTAAGACTCTTTCATCAGAACATCCTCGCACTAATACTAAGAAAACACACCAAACACAATTGCACAAAGAAAAAAAAAATCCAATTAATACAGAACAAACTTACAATGTGATGTTGGCAAACCTGAACGCCTCCAAATTACAGGTACATAAATTTGCTTTCTAGTTTCTTTGAGAGTCTATGTCAACCAGATAATAAATAATAAATAATTTGTCCACCTATCTTGGGTATTTGCAGCTATATGTGCGTTAAAACGACATTACAATAACTGATTAAAAGCCTATTGAAATTATTTTTTAAAAAAGTGATGGGGTGAATCCAGAAGTGTGCAGATATGGCAGCATCTGTGGGCTACTGATAAATTCAAATAAATAAAAAGATACATTGATACCTAGCATGATTAAAAAATTATTATTATTTTTTTTTTACAAAGGAAAGTGTCTAAATGACCGCTTGAAAAAACAGGAACAAAAGTCAAAAGTGCAGCTCAACATTTGGAAAACATGATAAACCTGTGAGGAAAATGGAAAATGTGATAAACCTGCGATGAGGCAGAAAAAAGATACTTTTGGATGATTAAATTCTGCAGTTTAGGCTCCAGTGAATGCATCTTCAACAAACATGATGTCGAGATGCTTTGCATCCTTCAAGTCTTTAATCAATAATAAAAGCGTGCCAAAAAAACTTGTTTCAAAGTAGATCTGTGTGGGTTTTTACTGCCAGATACATGCAAACTATTGCAAGATGAATTCAGATGGAATTCTACAAGCAATGCCATAATTACTCTCTTTGATTTCTTCCATGCACGCAAGCTCTGTCTTCTGAAGTAAAACGCTCATTTAAACGTGTGCACGGATATGGGCATTCTGCATGATCTGGAATACTGAATATATATACAGTATATATTCATTTGATGGGGGCACCTAAAATCTGAGCATCTTTTCTTTGTCTGAAGGCCAAAGGTGGCACGTGAAGAAGAAAGACAGGAGTGGCGTTGGGCAGCGAACACGCGGGAATATGGCGATCAGGGTGTGTAGGCCGGTGGAGGCTGGAATTGGTTGGTAATGTCGTAGTCAACTGGGTATGTTTCACTGCTCTCCTCCATCTCGGAGAGGAGCTCCAGGGCTTGCTCCTCCTCCTCAGTGGGGTAATGACGGAGCAGGTTGGCCGCTGTGGCTAAAATAGAGGCTCCGCCAGCACCGGCCACCAGGTAGAAGCTGATGGCGAAAGTGACGTAGATGAGCGAGCCGTGGTACTTCTTGTGCTGCTGCTGCAGGGACAGAATCAGTTCTGAGGCCCAGTAGCAGAAGCCGATCACTGTGGCGCACTGGAGCACTGGAACACACAGATTCATTGAGACTAAAACAAATACCTGGATTGATATCAAGAACTAAATCCTTGGTGAAGTCATACCTGTGAGGATGTGAGCGAAAGCGTATCTGCGTGTGATCTTGAGGGCTGGGTGTTTGGGTCCAAAGACATCCAGCAGAAATGCCGTCAGGCTGCACAGAATGCCCAAAAAACAGAAAGCAGCGATGACCCGCAAGAGCAGGATGGACTGAGAGTTCAAACAGTTATCTGTGGGAGACAATCGACAAAAGTTTATCATTAACAGAGCAAGTAGAAGATCTCAATAACTTCGACTACAAGTCAGGAAGATTTTTTTGGTAACACTTTACAATAAGATTTCATTTGTTAACATTAATTGAATACGTTAATTAACATGAAATAAGATCAACACCGCCACAATATTTTGTACTTAAAGGAGTAGTTCACTTTTAAAAAAAACTTTTGCTGATAATTTACTCACCCCTATGTCACCCAAGATGTCCATGTCATTCTTTCTTCAGTCGAAAAGAAATTAAGGTTTTTGATGAAAACATTCCAGGATTTTCTCCATATAATGGACTTCAATGGGGACCAAACTTTCACGTTCGTGACTCTCCTGTTGGAACTCGTTCATCAAAATGAACGAATCTTTTTTCGTGTCATTTGGTTCATTCAACAAACAAAATGAACGAGTTGACTCTGGAAAAGATTCGTTCATTTTGATGAAAAAGTTCAAACAGGAGAGTCACGAACGCACATAAAACTTACTTAAAACTTACTTTTTTTTTTTTAAACGAGCGATCATTTCGCTTGATAAGACCCTTATTCGTCATCTGGAATCATTTAAAGCCCTTTGAACAGTTTGCACTGAAACTGTCTTTTGGACCTTGAACCGTTTGGTCCCCATTGAAGTCCATTATATGGAGAAAAATCCTGGAATGTTTTCATCAAAAACCTTAATTTCTTTTCGACTGAAGATAGAATGACATGGACATTTTGGATGACATGGGGGTGAGTAAATTATAAGCAAAAGTTTTTTCTTAAAGTGAACTACTCCTTTAATGTTAATTTACTTGTACATTGTTAAGATCAAAAGTCCTAGTTGTTAACAATAGTTAATGCATTTTTACTAACTTATATTAAAAGAGGTTAAAAGTGGTGTAAATATACACTGCCCAGTGCCTTAAATAGCAGAGTCTATGATTGGATCATTATTGCACTGATTAATATGTTCCTACATGATATATGTTTGGCAACAGTTCTTTTAACCCTAATTTATGTGTGTGTAGCTTTTTATTTCTTAAACAACTATGTAGGGACCTGGAAGACACGTCATGGCCATATACCAGAATGATCAATACAAGGACTTAATGGAAATGACATTTATTATCAAGAGGTGCATCATTTTTTGGTCAAGATCTTGTATTGAGTTCAGCACTTGGTAAAGTCTCCTCCAGCACATCCTAAAGATTTTCAATGAAGACATTTATAATGTTACAAAAGATGTATATTTCAAATATATGCTGTTCTTTTTAAATTTTTTATTGATCAAAGAATATCGGACACAAAGTGTATCACAGTTTCCACAAAAATATGAAGCAGCATGACAGTTTTCAACATTGATAATAATAATTATCAAGAAGAAATGTATCTTGAGAAGTAAATCAACGTAGAATGATTTTCTGAAGGATCATGTGATGCTGAAGAAGAATGGAATTCAGGAATAAATTACATTTGAAAATATATTCAAATGATTAAAAAATAAAAACAGTTTGGGATACCAACCTTTAATGAGATTGTCATCTATATATCCCAGGACATCAGCGACACCGATCTCCTGTCTGGGACAGGTTCCTCCATGGACACGGAGCCAGGCCGGTTCTGCCAGGGCCGTACAGAGAGCCGTGATGGAGAGCGCCCCGGGCAGCGCCGATGCCAGACTCCTCTCGGGCTGTTTGGGTAGAGCCGTCCCACCTCTCCGCCTTCGGTTGCCTGGCAGAGCAGTTCCCGGGGGTGCGTACATGGTCTAAAAACTACTGAAAAGCCTCGATCAAAAAAAGTAAAACTCAAATACACCGGAGTGAGAGTGGACAGCTCTGGGGTTTGACCACCACCGGCACTACAGCTGAGAAATCAAAACAAAAATATATAATATATATATATATATTATATTAGTACACACTTAGAACTAATCAGTGAAATAATTAAGGACATAATCATAAAAAATGACTAATGATGTGATAATTAGGAATGATAGCAATTATATAATTATAGTTATAGATAGGCAGATTTACATAGACTTGTAAATAACTGTTAACCTATATCGATCTAACTATATACACTAATGATTAGCCTACTGGTCAGTATAAAAATACACTTAACAGAATAATACATAAAAAAGTATGTGATTTTTAAGCTCCTCCTTTTATATAACAAAGGATTAATAGCCTATCAATATGTATCCAAAACTTTTATTTAAAGACTCTATTTACCAGTTTGCTGTGACTGAAGCTCCTCTGTCTGTCGGTTTTTAATCAGATTTGATCATTTGTGACATAAACTGGCCTTACACCTTCTCAACAAACACACAAAACCCTTTAAAACCTCCTCAAATCCCACCAAAATATAAAAAAATATTAAAACCAAATTGTAATATGTTCAGCTTCGAATGATCCCGCTGGTCGCCACTACATCGAAGACATTTTCGTGTGTTTTATTCTTGATTTCCAGTGAAAAACGTAAACAATAGTCCGTCCGCTTCCTCCATCAGACGGAGATTCTCCTGCCTCAGACTTCCGTTTCCTGTGTGTTGCCGTTAAAGCCAATCAGACGCGTCCCTTCTGCAGGCGTCATCCTCGAGTACATGCATGACGTTTGTGTGAGGAATTGAAACTATTCTGTAAATGTGATGCCATATAAGATTTTCCACTCATAATACATGTTCTTACAGAGATCCTTCCACCCTTGCTTTACAGTGCACTATCAAACACAATTAAATAATTAAATAACTATTGTTAGTTAATAACTAATACATACAATATCATCCAGCAAACAAAACGTTTAAAACGTTTAAAAAACTGAAATAATAGAACTTACTTTATAAGTATTTTTGTAACATCAATCGCTCACATAAATATATATTTTCATAACTTCCGCTTAAATAATTAAACTATTTTAGTTAATAGCTAATACATACAATATCATAAAGCAAACAAAACGTTTTAATATATATATACATAAAATAAAAAAATAATAAAAATAAAATAATAGAATTTACTCTAAAAGCATATTTTGTAAGATATTTTCCTCTAACTTCCGCTACACTCCTGATG